TATATATTTGACATTTTATTTCATCAAATCAAACAATTAAATCAGAAAAATGAAATCAATGAAAGGAAATGATCTGGAAATCGAAAAAGAAATCTGGACTTCTTGTACTGATCACCAGTGTCAATTTGTAATAATGATAAATGAGTAGCTTTAAACAAATAAAAGAATTCAAGGTACCCAAACATATTATAAAGAGTAATTCTAATATTTCAAAACTGTTCCGAAATATTAAACATAATTTAAAAAAAAAGTTCAATATACCTAAACACAATATAATGTAGGTTATAGATATTTCAATACTTCAAAATTGTTTCGAAGTTTAAAATTTAATAACACTTTGACTAACTTCTAAATTTTGAATCTTATCTTATAGAAATACCACGCCGGAAGCACATACACTCACTCACGCGCACAAAAACACTCACGTAAACACACACCTGTTCATCCACACACACTCACACAAGCACAGCACTCATTCACACACACTCACACAAGCACAGCACTCATTAACACACACTCACACAAGCACAGCACTCATTCACACACACTCACATAAGCACAGCACTCATTCACACACACTCACACAAGCACAGCACTCATTCACACACACTCACACAAGCAACCACATTCGCACACACTTAGACTCACACAATGCTTACATGAACATGCTTTCCCAGATAACTAGATGGTGGTGTCGGGATCTAAGTTTGTTAAAAAGTTACGTAGCTTCCTTTTAAAGAGTTGTATACTTTTGATTTTATGTAACTGAGGAGGAAGCAGTTCAGCCCAAATTTTTGGTCCAGTAAGTTTAATACTTGATGAAAATAATTTAATACGGGTTCTTTGTGTGTAAAAGAATTGGGTGTGTCTTGTATGAGCAGATAGAATAGAATTGCTTGTCGTGTAAAGGTGGTCTAGAGGAGTAGGAAGAAGTTTATTAATAAATTTGAAAACAAGTATAGTAATATATAAACCTTAATGGTAGAATATTGTTATTTGCAAAAAAGGGTTTAGTATGGGCAAAAGGATTAGTATTAAAGATAAGACGTATTGAACGTTTTTGAGAGAGCGTAATGTTGTATAAGTGACTTTTAGGACTGTTTCCCCAAACAGTTATGCAGTAGGTAAGATGGGGATAAATAAAAGCGTAGTAAAGGTTTAGTAGAGCAGACTGAGAAAGTTTGTATTTTATTTTGTAGAAAATTTCAATTAGTTTATTGACCTTTTGGGAAGTTGATTGCAGGTGGTAGTCCCTCGAGAGGTTATCTGTTATATTGATACCTAGGAATTTAGTTGAACGAGTACGATTAATTGGATTGTTGTTAAGCAGCAAGTTTAAATCTTGGACTTGGTTAGTTAATATTTTGGGACCAAAAATCATATAAGAACATTTGGAATGATTTAGTAGTAGTTTATTTGCCAGAAACCAGTTGGAAAATCCTGACAGTTCTTGGTTGATGATGTCTCGGCAGCTGTTGATGTCGTCTGGTTTAAACAAAATGTTCGTGTCGTCGGCAAATTGTACACATTTGGCTAATGATGAGACATTACAGAGGTCATTGATGTAGACTAGAAATAGAAAAGGACCCAGTATAGATCCTTGAGGAATTCCATTCTGGACATGAGTTTTATTTGATTTGAAGTTATCGATATAAACATATTGAGAACGCAAGGAGAGATAGCTCTCCAACCAATTGAAAGCGATTCCCCTCACACCATACCACTCAAGTTTTTTTAGGAGTATGCTGTGGTCAATTACATCAAATGCTTTTGAAAGATCCAGAAATAGGCCAACAGATAGTTTTTTGCTATTCATACCGTTTAGGACATGTTGGGTAAAGTCTAGGATAGCAAGCTCCGTTGAATGCTTGGCCCGGAAGCCGTATTGGCTGTTACATATAATGCTGTTGAGATTGAAGAAAGAATTTAATCTAATGTACATTATATTTTCCAGAATCTTGGATAAAGGAGACAACAGAGATATGGGTCTGTAGTTATTTATATCATCCAGAGATCCTTTTTTGTGGATAGGAATAATTCTGGATATTTTGAAGGTATCTTGAAAAATTCCCGTTGATAATGATAAATTGAAGATGTGGATTAAAGGTAAAGTTATGGAATGGATTATGTTTTTTATTAGGTACATGTTAAGGCCATCATCGGAGTAACTGTTTTTATTTTTCATTTTACGGACAATAGATAGTAATTCGCGTTCCGATACAGGGTTAAGAGATATGGATTGAGTTATAGTAGGACCCAAGAGTTTCATGGGGTCAGCCTTACCCGGTAGGAGGTTGAAAGAATGTTCGATTGAAACGTTTGCAAAGTGTTCGTTCAGACGGTCGCAAATCTCCTGTTTGTTGTCAACTGTTTTGTTGCTTACGGTGAGTTTGGATATGGATGAGTTGGGCGGTTTTTTGTTTAGTGCACATCTTATCAAATTCCATTTGGCCTTGATGTCGTTGGGAGAATTACTGAGTTTATTTGTGTAATATTCTCGTTCTGTTTTTCTTTTAATGGTTGTAAACATGTTGCGGAATTTTTTGTACTCAGAAATATTGTTTGGAGTAGGATTACGGAGGCTTTTAATGAAGAGCTTGTTTTTTTTATTGGATAGTTTTTTAATATGTGTTTTGACCCAGCTTTTGTTTTTTGGTTTAACAGGTAAAAATGGAGCAAATGTATTTATCGCTTTATTGAGTATGGCATATAGCTGTGATGAGGAATCATTAACATTGTCTATCGCGATCACTGACGTCCAGTCTTGAGCAGATAACGAATGGTTGATGTCATATAAAGATTTTGGAGTCAGAAGTCTGGAGTATTTTTGTGGTGCAGAATAATTAAGTTTATTGAGGTTAGATGCGATGGTAAAAATAGGAAAATGGTCTAAGAAGTCAGATAAGACTGTTCCAGAAAAGTGAGTAGTAATATTATTTGTGTAGATATTGTCAATTAACGAGGAAGAGGAAGACGTAATGCGTGTGTCAGAGGTTATAAGTGGAAGAAAGTTGTACGATGATAGAAGGTTGGAAAAAGCTGATACATGAGGATCAAAAAAAATTTATTAAGATCGAGATTGAAGTCACCAATTAAATAAGATTTATTTGGAGGTTTTAGTGTAGGTAAGATAATTTCAAGTTTGCGTAGTAGTAGATCAGGGTTGGAATTAGGCGGTCTGTAGATTGCAATTATCTTAAGTTTATGCATATTAACTGCGATGTCGACGGAAAGAAAGTCAATAACTTCATCATCCAGTACGGCTTCGCAGTTAACTGAATAGCTGATTCCCTGTTTGATGAAAATCCCGACACCACCACCTTTTTTGTTAGATCTGTTTTTAAAAACAAAGTTATAATTAGGCATATTAATATATTTAACAGTGTCATCATTTAACCAGGTTTCAGAAATTATGATAAGTGGAAAAAAATTTGAAAGGGAATCGTTTAGTATTAACAAATCTGCCATTTTATTGAACAAACTACGACTATTGGCATGAATAATAGATAAATTTTTATCAGTTTTAAAAAAATTGTTAAGTATGAGATTGTTTAAATTGTTTATGGTGTAATTTTGAAAGTTATTGATAAAAATGTCTGAAAAATTAATACTGTTATTGGATGGGTTGACAGAAACTAAATCAGAAGATGTATCGCTGGAATCAGGCAGGTTAGTACATGGAGAGTTGCTTGTGTTTCTATTCATGATTGGTTATTTGTTGCTTGGCCTTTTTTTCATTATGCAAAAAACGCCATTCTCGTACAATTATATTTTTGGGTATGATGTTGGGATCGTTGATTTTAGGAGAATCTATTTTGTCAATGCAGACACGAAACATTGATGAATCTTGGTTGTCTCGGTTGGTGTGGGGAACTTTTGATGGCTCGGTATTTTTAAATACCGGATAACATGATAACACGTTAATCCCGCATGATGATAAAAATTCGCTGACGTCGCTGGCTGAACATTTCTGGATGTTACTCATTAAGTAGACACGTTTGTTGTACAGAACTTTATCGGCTTTTAGTTTGCAGTCAACTTCTTTTTTACCAATAATTTTTGGAGCTGAACGTTTGTTTGAATTTGTATCTGCTTTAATGTTGTTGTTGTCAGTGTCGCTGGTTAATGCGCGCGGGCGTTTATTTTTTCTGGTGACAAGGGTGAACGACGAGTCTTCGGTCGGGGTTCTTGAAATATCGGACCACAGGGGTTTTCCAAGCTGGACGGTAGAGTTGGCAAATGGAATATTCGGCAAAACAGTAGGTTTAATGTTTTCAGAGTTGGCAGTTTTACAGTTGTTTTCAACATTAATATTTGACAATAAACTTGTTTTGTTTTTTAAGACTTGAATATCATGTTTATTAGTTTCGATTATATTGTTTAAGCGCACCTGTTGAGAGTGAACAATGTCTCTAACTTCGTTTTTTAAATTAACAAAATTCAAGTTAGCTATACTTTCTAACTTTGGAATTTTTACCATATTATAGCTGACAAATATTGAACATTTGGCCAACATATTGTTAGTTTTCAGATATTTAAAAAGCGAGAGACATTCAAGTAATTTGTCCTTTTTTGTATTCCCGCGCATTTGTAATTTTTCGTTGTTATCCAATTTTAAGTTTTCAATATCGCTTTTCAACAACTTAGTAGCAGTAATATCGTTTGTATAAAAGTCAGATATGTTATTTATAAAAGTTTCATTATCAATTAATTCGACATTATTGTTTACGAAATAGAGCAACTCGTTAATCACAACAACACGTGCGCCATCTTGCCGAAATATATTGCAACTCTAATCCTAACTTAAATTAAAGTTACAATTGGAATTAACTGAAAGAAAACTGCTTGAGAGAGTGCTGCTTCAAACAAGAAATCAACCAAAAATGCTGTTAGACCATATGAAAATATTTTTAAAGCAACTATTAAAAATAGAAATAACATTGGTAAAAATTGAACATTGGCAGGCATAGCATAAAGTTCAAACATTAAAAAAACTACATAAAAAACAAGTTTAGAAATAAACAATGGATTTGCATGTGTAGGGGAAGATTAATTAAAAAAAACATCAAACAAATGTTAAAATTATATATTATGTTTGAAAAACAAAAATTTTTTTTAAATGTTGATACAAATTAGATGACGTTCAAATATTTGCATTCATTACCAAAATGTGTTTTAAGTTTAAAATTTTTTATTGCATTATTTTCATGTTGATTAAACGTGTTATTTTGCATTTATTTTGTCTAATTAGTTTTTGTTTATAATCTATTTTTCTTCGTGAAATTAAGTACTTTAATGATTTCACTTTTCGAAAGCTCGGTTGTATAATGTAGGATTGACTATGGACAACTGTTGTTGATAACTAATTTTGGCTGTATTTATGTTTTTAAACTTTTTAACGAAATAAACACATGTTTGAAAAAACTGAACGGCTCTTCTACTGGACGACCTCCAATTCATGTTAGTACTAAGAATGACATAATAAATAACCAAAAGATAAATTTATTTGTCATCCATATATTTGTAAATAAATTACACATAATTACTTTTGAATTCCCCAAACTCCAAAAAAAACGGCCTTTAAAAACTAAATAAATTAAGTACTGTAAAGGAAAAAATAAATTTGAAAAGTAGTAAATAACGTATTTTAAAAGTATATTTATTATAATTAAAGACATTTATTAATATAAGAATTGAACTTATTATCTAAACTTACGGTTTTATTCATTTATTCAAGTTGATTTCACAATAAGGGAAACCTGTGCCTTTATCTTGGGTTATTTTTAATTATTGTATCAATATACTTATGGTGACGAGACGTCACCATAAGTATATTTTTTAGATAGCATATAAGTATATAAGTTAGATCACACAAATAGGTTCAAATTTTTTTAGTTTATTAAATAAATTTCAACTGTACTCAAAATTCGGCAAATATTTTTACGTTTGTTTAATCAGTTATAAAGATGAACGCTTAAAACAGGCGTTTCCGTCGTCCGATTTAGCGAGCAGTTCTACTGAACTGAAGATAGATGATTTCTTCAAATTATTACTCATTTTTGATTCTGCTTTTTTCTATTTGTATATATCCTTTAATTTGCTTGGTTCAAATTTTTTTAGTTTATTAAATAAATTTCAACTGTACTCAAAATTCGGCAAATATTTTTACGTTTGTTTACGCTCAACTATAAGCGTATCCACATATGTATAATGATTGGATTTTTATAATATAGTATTAAAAATTGAAAATTGTTTGATACTTTTTCACTCGAAATCTGCCGAGTAGGGTTTGAAATTCCGTAGTTGCATGCTGATATGATGTTGGTGGTTGAGTGTTGTATTTTTAAACCACCCGCTGTTAACCGTGTTTTTAATAACATTGAAAATGAACAATACAGTGTTTTAATCTACACGCGTTTTGCCTTAAAAAACGATGCGACGACTGAATGCATGCGTATGAATAGAGTCTGTAATATTCTTTCATTCGTCATCTCATTGTCCAGTTAGCAGCGTGTGCTCCACCAGTCATGCTGACTTCCATTGTTCTAATTGTGTGAATTTTAATTTTTTCATTTACAAATAAAAATATTCCATTAATTATACTATTAATTATAAAAACTCCATTCAGCTTGTTTTACAAGTTTTCACATTTTACAGTTGAACTGGTTAATTGATATGCTGGAGGTTGTAAGGTAATTTATAAAGTAAGTGGTGACTATTTGAAAACATACACTAAAAGAAAGTTTATTTGCCACTGTCGTAAATTATTTAATATTTTGAATGGATAGTTTAATATTGTATGGTTCTTCAGATACATTCTATAGCAAAATACTTTTAAATTTTTAAATTTCAATCGGCTCTAACAATTTTATGAATGAAAAAATTAGGAGTAGATTTAAATGTTTTTCAGAACAGCCGCTAATCAGATCCTCATAACATTCAACACTCATTACAATTTTACACGGCAACAATTTTGTGGCACACTTCCAACATTTTCGTAATGCATTTGAGACAATTTTATTGCCCAAACAATTTTTACTGTGCAATTTCATTATTTTCATTTGTAATAGGGAAATAGCAATAAACAATAAACAAGCCAGTTATTCAATTAAATGAATATTGCATTACAACTCTCGTTTCTTGTTCTAATTTCTAACAATGTCTGCCAGACTCTGACAGGCCAATAAAGCCGTCAGTGGCACACGTCGTTAGATTGAGCAGCGCCTTATTAGTCGTCAATAATGTGGGAGGAGCCAATTAGAGCGGTTACTATATAACGGCGGACTGAGGACACACGAACGATCAAAGTTGAAAAATTCTTCCTGGTTGTTTTAAGCGTTCATCTTTATAACTGATTAAACAAACGTAAAAATATTTGCCGAATTTTGAGTACAGTTGAAATTTATTTAATAAACTAAAAAAATTTGAACCAAGCAAATTAAAGGATATATACAAATAGAAAAAAGCAGAATCAAAAATGAGTAATAATTTGAAGAAATCATCTATCTTCAGTTCAGTAGAACTGCTCGCTAAATCGGACGACGGAAAATCGTCATCAACATCATTATCATCATCATCATCATCAACAACAACAAGACCATCATCATCAACACCATTATCATCATTAACGTCCTCACCATCTAATAACTTCGCCCCATCATTCATTCATTCACCAGCCTTAGGATCAAGTTGTTCATCTTTTGCACCATCCAATTGTGCCTCAAGTAACTTGTTATCAACTGGTTTATCACAAGCAAATATTCGAAATTGCGATCATAAAGAACAAACAGATGCCAACAGCTGCAGCCAATACAGCATACAGCATGTCTTGGCACCAATTCAAAATGTGAGTTCACTCAAAAACGAACGGAGACACTGTGTACCCCAGCAATATACGTACGATCAATCGTTCGTTCGTGCGTCAAATTTGAAGAGAAGCCGTGCCGAGAAAGAAACATTTTTGTCTCCTTCTTGCAGAAGCACTCCACTCATCCGAGTTGATGTTGAAAACAAGTTCAGCAAACGAAGGAAACTTGATGAATCGTCCTTTGTCATGCCCTCCCCAATTTATCCGCCGATGTTCAGCACTCCTCATCTCAGTAAATCAAGAATGGATTCTGGGTTCCAAAGTTTCAACGCAACTTTTTTGAACAAACCCATGCAAACAAATGAATTTTTTTCGCATTCAAGAAAGCGAATCTGTTTGCAGGAAAAACCAGTTAAAAGCAACGTTGAACTGGTGAACGGTGGACGAGGAATAAAGAACCCACTACTGCAGAACCACCTGATCAAACAGTTGCACGAAGGACAAGATCTCAGTAAGTACATCATGAGCGATAATGAACAAATAAATCGAACTTATAATACTAACCATATGATTTTCAATTGTACAGGTGTGCAGACAAAATACAACGAGTTCTTATGTCGAGTTTGTTTGAAAAGCTTTCCTTTGCAGCGACTTCTCAATCGCCACGTCAAGTGCCACACGGACATCAAACGCTACCTCTGCACATTTTGTGGCAAGGGTTTCAACGACACTTTTGACTTGAAGAGACACACAAGAACACACACTGGTTGGCTTTCATTTACATATTTCTTTTTCTGATTTTTAAGATTCTCAAAAAAAATTACAAATGAATTGATTATGATTAATTGAAACATAACTTTGTTGAATTTAAAATTGATGCAGGAGTTCGTCCATACAAATGCGAGCATTGTGACAAGGCATTCACACAACGTTGTTCACTGGAGTCACACGCGAGGAAGGTGCACAACGTTCAGTTCAATTACAAGCACAAGGAAAGGAGAGATAAGTTGTACGTGTGTGAGGAGTGTGGTCACTCGACGAGACAGTCTGAGGAGCATTTTGTTCACATGAAGGACCAACATCCACACGTGCATACGTCCGACGAATGTTCAAACATTCCTCGTCATGAAGCTGCTAATGTGGATTTGCCTAAAGTCAATCTGATGACTATTTTTTAAAACATTTTTTCATTTTAATTTCTATTATCAGAAGTGTTGTTTTGTCTGATATAGTTAACGAATTATATATAAATTGAATTTTGTATTTAGATACTGTAAATAGTAATGAATGATTATATTTTTGTAAATAAATTTTTTCAATTCATGTCTTTGTCGAGCACATAAACACACACACACACATTTCCTTACACAACGGTGACATAAAAGTACATGCCTACGTAGATAACGAGGTGTTATAACGCATTACCCTGGCAACTTTCCTATGAATGAAACTGTTAAACATCATCTGGAAATCACTTTCGTGGTGTTATTACACTTTCCAATGCTCTCTCTTAACGAGCTAACGTGATTTCTATTTGTCTTGTTTGTTCTGTCAACATGCGAAATGCCCTTCAAAATTTGACGGTTTGTCAAAAGTTGATTTTAACACCTCTCTCTATTATCGGACTATATATTAATGTTAGCTAAGGCTAATACAAACAAACATGCACATAAACAAATAATTGAATAAATTTAAAAATGAAATAGATA